ATATATATATATATTATAACTGTAATACATACTACGGTACCGATTAGTTATTATCTCATCCATTTGCGTTGCATGAGCTCTGTTTTTATATTGCATTGATATTATGAACCTCTCCTTATAAAATGGTTGAGTATGTAAGTAGTAATAACACATAATTGCTATAACTAAGCAGAAAGCTTACCAAAATTGAGCACGGACACCGAATTGAGGAGGCGGTCCACGGTATCATAATCGGTTAGAGGCTCGTCACGAAACGCGACGAATGGTGTTAGTCGACCACTGTCCTCGCTTAGGTCTGCGAAAAGTACCGAACTAGCATGGGGGTCTTTTTGTGCGCTGTAGCGCTCATCGACACTCGGCTGGTTAAGTTCCTTACTCTGGGGTCCCATTCGAGGGTCCCGAATTGGGTAACGGGGATTGTAGGCGCCATGCCCACTTTGCACGGGATGCTGGCCATGTTGTGGCTGAGTCCATTCCGGCTCGTGGTAACCCTGGAAGCCTTCACGCAAATTTTGCGTGTTCTGGCCACCATGCGGGTTCTGTGGAACATTCTGCTGGTGGCGTCCACCAGCTACCGGTGGCAATTCGACGTACTCATCACGATAGTCCCGATAGATGCGCTCTTTATAGTCAGCCGGGTAACGTGGAGTCGGTGAGGGCCACCTGTTGAAGCCCGGGCGTCGATAGCGGCACCGTTGCCAGTAATCATAGTCAGATTGACGGTAGTCTGATTGCCAGCCGTTCTCTTGCGACGACCGATAATCCTGCGAGCGACACGAGTTTCGGCACACGCTGTGCGGCTTGCCGCACTGGAAGCAGTGACTAGATCTCATCTGATTGTTGGCACAGTTGGTGCAATTGCCGCAGCTTCCGCAGTCGCGGACGTTCGCGCCGCCCCATTGATAACCGTGCTGCCCGTCTTGCGGTACGGCAGAAGCTTCCTGGCCCTGGCCAGTAGCAGCAGCTTGGCGCATCATTCGTCGCTGACTCCACGTCGGCAGTGGTCGGTTGTTGCAATTGTTGCTAGCCCGATTGTTCGGTGGACAGCTTCGCGTGATAACGAGATTGCCATGCGCTCCCACCGAGAAGCGTACGCCTTCCTTTTCGAACTCCCTCTCCAAATTCCGAAGGGTGTTACAGACGAGCACCGAACGCAACAGAGACGGGTTCGCTGCCTGTCTATACCGCCCCAGCTTGGATACCGATAGGTTGAACACGACTTGCCGTCGTCGGTGGTACGCGTTCCGCCGGCGAAGGTAAAGCTCATCACCACACGGGCAATTCAGCTTACCACAGCTTTCGGCGGCTGCAGGATTGGGAGTTCCGACCCTCGTTTTATCCCAGCACTGGGCGGCGCCCTTGTTAACGTAAACGTGTTGGTTCCAGCTTTTACGGCACATCTCCTCATCGACACGCGTAGGTCCTGACTCGAACCACTCTGCGGAATCCGAATCGACCTCAGAGTCACTCTCTTCATCGGACGGTAAACTCGAATCACTCTCGTCCGAATCCATTGAGTCGGAATCGAAACCGTCAGCACCGAAATCCTGCCCTGCGTCATCCATATTGCCACACGTTTCGAACGCGCCGCCAAACACGCCATTTGGCTGCATCACCGAACTCGGAACGAACTGTTCCGGCGCTCGGCTGTTGAGTTCGCTTAGCTCTTCAAGTGGAGTTTTTATTCCTTCAACGCGTCGCCGCTTCTCCTCTTCGGGGACAAAGCCAATAGGCAACTTGCGCTTGGCAGGACTTGGCGGACGTTGATCGGTGGTGCTGTCCTGACACCATGCCGGCGTGGGGCATCGCTCTAAGCGGCGATACGTTGGTGGTTGATGCGTCTGCATGTTGACCGCTAGGGTTCTCTCGTCTTGCGGCTCTGTCGTAGCAGTAATGGCGGGGGCACACGGTGCCACAACCTGGTTTTGCTCCGGCTCATCGCGTTCCGGGTCGAGAGCGTCGTCGACGACGGGCGCTGGCTCCGATTGTTTAGTGTCGCGATCAGCCAGTTCGGGCAATAGTTCAGTCTCGGGAAGAACGGTATGGCCTTCGACAGGCGCGTCCTTCGACTCACTCATAATCTCCACTCCCAAACCCGAGTCCTCCGAGATGTACGTGAATCCGGAAGGCTCGTGGGCTAGCGGCAGCGATTTTTTAGGACTTAAGTTTCGCTTCTTTGTCTGGGCACCCTTGGCGATTTTTCTTACATTGCTAACTGCTTTTTTGTTTGTCCTCTGTAATGCAAAGAATCAAAAACAGGAATCAAATTGGTGTTACTATTCTCTTTTCTTGAACTGTACATAGGTATAAGTAATCTAGCCGGGTCATTGTTGCATCTATCGTGTACATAGCACAAATAGTTTCTTGTCTTAGCACCTATGTGTATATCTGTTAGTTAACCTGTCCTATACTATATGAATGCTTGAATGAACCTAAATTCAATACGGAAGAAGTTGCCACGGTACAACAACGGTTTGTATTTGGGAACGCTTTAAACGAAAAGTTTTTCTATGCTTGTCGAAAGCCGATAAGGTTCCCTGTCACCATACCAAAATAATTTCGAACTTCGCGTGTAGTATGTATTGTTGTCGAACCCAAATATCGATATTCTAATTTGAAAATCTTATTCATTGTTGTTTACCCTCAAAAAGCTTGTCATATAGGTGCATACTAATCAACACATTTAATTCGGCCATTTAATTTTAAGCCACACACGGACTCATTTATAAGTAAAATGTATACCAATTGTAATACCTTCCCAATGGCAATCTTTTACATAATGCCACATCTACGGATAATAAAGTGTAAGATTTCAACGAAGCTCTAATCCGACATTGAAGGGCATTACATTATCACATGATCTTTGCACAATTGTTATCTGAAATCCATCATCTGACATTAAACAATTATTTTATTTTTGGTACAAACCGAAAATACGTGAACAATACGCAGAATGAGACGATTACGGATTCAACACCACTCACCAGTTCCAGAATCAGAACTGTAGAAATGGTAATTATTTTCCACATTTTCCAATGTAATAACTGCGCCCGGTTCAGAGGTAATTTATAGTAATAATAACAATGATGACAACAACAGTAACAATAATTTCACCAGACCGCAATCATACTATTTATTATTTTCAGTTTCTGCAGCAATGGTGGTTGTAGGCTTTCGACACAGGATATATAAATGGCCGTCATATGTGTTAACCTCTGTGTGTCTGTGAGTTCCATGAAAACTTCAACACAGTGACAAGACTAGGAAATCTCAACAGCACATAGTGGCATGCCGCCATATCACAGCCATACTTGTACCCGCCGTATGAACCGAAGAACGGTGCGCTGTCGTCATACGTGGACGCTGCAGTGGCATCCAGCGCCGCAGATTTTCACTCAATGCAATAACGCGGCAGCTGCTTCAACGTCGCTACTGCTGCTGCCACCCCCTTTTGCAGTACAGGGCTGTTCGTTGGCCCCTGACTGAGTCTTGCTCGCGACTCGCTTACGTTGCTTTGCTTGTTCCTGTCGTACTGCCCATAATGGCGTAGTATGTGTCTGGGTGTCTACAGGTTTGGCTGCTGGGGCAACCCTCTGTGGAAAGACTACTCGTCGTCGAACAACTGTCATAACGTAGCTGACGCGGGGCAAAATCAAGACCCCAGCGTCAGCAGCCGCCAGCGACCGTTCGCAACCGTAGCGATCGTTTCGGTGCGTAGGTACACATGATAGACTGTCTGCCAGCCCCCTGCCTGTATATGTGTGTGTGTGGAGGGAGGGGAAACGGGAGGCATTTCGTAATCCGTTTGGCGGCCTTCGTTCTGCCGCGTGTGGCAGCGCCGCGTGCGCAACTCGACGTAACTCGCTGTTGCTAACAGAGTCGTTGGCGCTGGCAGCCGAAGCAGCACTACCGGCAACGGCTGCTTATTGTTGCTACCGCTGTGTTGTAATTGTTATTACTGTAGACCGTGGCGGCTAAGCCAACTCAAATCATCGTTGGTTAGTTGTGTGGTTGTTTGTTTCGTTGATTTACTACCCAGACATTAGTGACAACGGCAGCTGTCTAAGACATTCAGCATAGGAGTCGAGACGAGACCGTCTAGCTGCGCATATGATCGTAGCAGTACAGCAGCGGAGACAACGGAAATCATTTGAAGTTGTAGCATTCGTACGAACAGCAGCAGCAGCAGCAGCAGCACGAGGCAGGTCATGGCGCAGAGTGTTGCTCGATAAATTCTATTAGTATCGTATGAAACATTTGATTTAAGCTCGAACTAGCCGGCCGATTGACCGGCGGGCGGGCGGGCGGGCGGTCAACCACAGTCGATCGCGCCGCGCAATTGACCGCAGCTGTTATAATAATCACCGTGGCCACTGCTCCATCGCGATGTCGGCGTCAACCACCACGGTCCAACGCCAGTAACAAGTGCAACAGCGCAGTGATCGGTGCGCGATCACCAACCTCTACTCAGCAGTAGATTGCGGTTTGCGCATTACAACCATCCAGTGCTGCTACGATCGTCACCGCTGATCCGGCGCGGTGGCGCACTTCGTCGTCACCCACATGCAACGACACATTTAGAACCGTAACCGACTAGTACCGTGATTACTGCTGCTGCTGCTGGTATAACCGCTGGTGCTGTTAGTGGTGCCGTTGTTGCTGGTACCATTACCGCTGTGCATACCACTCTAGTTACAAATGTGTACAACAGTGTCCGCAGTCATAGTGAAATACGGCAGGGGCCGTTGTCCACCATCAGCTACACCAACAACAATAGTAATAAGGACAACCGGTCAAGCATCGCAGCGCTTCATACCCAAAGGGAACGAACGGTACGACGTAAGCAAGCCATCCTGCGTAGCAGTAGCAGCGATTGTCACAAAGACAATACGATGCAACGCATACCGCCGAATATCACTGAATGGCAAAAGCAGCCAGTCGCAGCCGCAACAGCAGAACTGAGTGCGGATCCACCACTGATACAAGTACCATCGACGGCAGGCTAGTCCTAGCAGCAGCGAGAGCAGTGGACACGCATGCCGCTGTATAATGCGGTACTCCGCGACCGTTCTGCCGGCGAACAAATGGACGGACAAAGACGCAGACAAGCCAGTTGGTAGAACAGCGGCAGTGGCAGCGACGCCAGCAGCTGTAAGCTGCTGCGAGGGGTCTTGGTAGTAATAGTGGTAACGATGCCTTCCGAAGTCTACAACCATAGCCATAGCCAAAATAGACGCGGACGGATACATGGACGACTTCGGACGCTCAAGACGATTCGTTGATGAAGGCGCTAGCCGCAGCCGCAGCAGCAGCCAAAAAGAAAAATGGAGTAGCGAGCGAAGAGACGCGACAACAAGAACCAACGAAGACTTTTTTTTTTCGTTTTTTTTTTTTACTTTTTCTCTTTGTCGGATTTCACTGTTGCTTCGTCTTCTCGTCATCAGGGTCTATTCCTTCGTTCCGTCGTTCATCCGCAGCGTCTTTTTGTGTCGAATCGTTCCTTCACTCGCTGCTTCGCCGTTTCGCTGTACAACCGACCCAACACCGCAAGTGCTGGATCTAGCAAGCGAACGCCATCGCAGTCGATCGTCCCGTCCCGTCTTCTGACAGCAAACGAAGCGGCCGCGTTGCTTCGCAGGCAGCTAGTGCAGACTGCCGCTGCACTAGTCGACTTTAGTTTCAGCAACTGACTTCGCCAGCGCGTTGTTGTCCATCCATCCGACCGACCGACCGACCGCCCGCCCGACCCCACTGTCGCTGCCAACGCAGCCGAAGATTGCCGCTATCTGTCTATATATGACGGTGATGTGTGTGTGTGTTTGTGAGTGTACGTGTGTGAGTGTGTGTGTTGGTCAGGTTTGGCTGCTGCTACGTCTGTTGTTCGATGGTCGGTCGACTCCTTCTTGATTTCGTCTCTGTTAAAGGCAGTCGGCGCGTTTGCCGTCCGTTCTTTGTCTTCTGAACCTTCGTCTTCTGCTTTGCCTCTCATCGCCTTTTCTTCGTCTTTAGTCTGTTTGTGCGTTCGCCCGTCGATGAGTTTGCCCGTGTACCGACGTACATCTTCCCCTTCTTCGTCTTCGCCGTGTCGCTCAGACTTCATCACCATCACCACCAACAACAACAGCGAAGACGCAAAAAGGCAGAGAACGACGAAATGGCGAATACCAAAAGTCCAACGACGAATGGCGTCGGACAGGCTCGGCCGTAGCAGAGTGGTTGGCCGATGGATCAACAGACGACGACGACGACCAGCGTAGCGGACGCGGCTACAGCTGCTACCACCATCACTACCACGACAGCGGCCAACAAGTAGAGGAAAATGACAGGAAACAGCTCAAAAAAACAGGCAGGTGAAGTCCAGCACAGCGGCTTCATCTCGGTTGCCGCCGCCGCCGCTGCTGCCGTCAACGTCGTCGTCATCGTTTTCTTCATATTGAGCCAAAGCAACAGCTTAAAGGGAGACGAAGAAGGAAAAGAGCTAGCTACGGCGGGTACGAAGACCAAATAACATCAACCGACCGACCGAACCGAAGAATAGAGAAGACCGAAAAGAAACGAACGACAAACGCCAGCGGTTGCCGTGGTAACCGTAGCAGCAACTGCGCGTAAGCGTTGCGCCGCTACTCTTCGTTCTTTTACAGCAAAGACCGAACGGCTTCACCGAGTTTGGCCACGCTAGCAGCGCTAGTCAGTTCGCTTGGTGGCGTGATACAAAAAAGATACCAAGAAGCGACGCGGTGGCTGCCGTCATCGCCAGTAACAACAACAACAGCAACTACAGCAGCAAGCAGTTAGTCAAAGGAGGTAGAAACGCTAGCGTCTCTGTCCAACGACGACGACGACGACACCTCAGTTTACGTCAAGCGATAGGCAAAGAAGCGGCGCCGATTGTGAAGCTAGTGGAGCCAACGAGAAGTCAAGGAGATGAGGATAAAAAGAAGAGATGCGAAACGGGAAAAATAGCGAAGTGGCAGCTCCGCGATCTGGCTTTACCCCGGCCCTCGCCGCTGCTGTCGCTGGCAGAACTGCAGCATCAGCAACAACGGTTCTGCCGCAGAACGCACCGATCGTCGCCGCCACCGCAGCAGCAGCAGCGGTCGTTCTTCGTTTGTGTCCGCCGATCGGTTTTGGTTAGCTTCGCCTTGCATGTCGGTGACGACTGCAGAAGCGCTGCCTATGTAAGCGAAGTCGCGCATGGCGGTGATGCGCGCTGAGTTGCTGGCTTTGCCGCCACTTACGATGGATGGATCTACCTATATGTGTCTATGTATCTGTTTGTCTGTCCATCTGTTTGGCTGGCTCTGTAGGGAATGTAAAAGACAGTGTGTACCCCACGGAGTGAACCAGCGCGCCGGCAACGACGGCAGCAGCGGTAGCGACAACAGCCGCCGGGTAGTCAACCGCTCGGGCCATCATTGCAGATGCTGCTGTTATTATTGTTGTTGCTGTTTTCGTAACTTTGTTGTTATTGTTGTCAATGTTGGCAGCAGAAATTGCTGCATCCGGACGTCAGCGAGCCACGGCAGCAGCTATGCTGATGGCAGCAGTGGTAGTAGGCTATATGTTGTTTTCTTGACTTGTTTCGCTCTCGTCTGTAGTTCCAGTCGTTGTAACAGTCGTTCGCTAGCTGGCGCCTGCCTTCGTTCTCTGTTACCGCTGATATCGTCGGTGCCGCAGCCGAAATCTAGCCATTCGCCTGCCAGCGATCAAGCAAGCGTCATTGCTTCGCCGTCACGCAGAACCCGCCAAGCAAGACGAAATGTTGCCGCTGCGGCACTTGTCGTAGTTGTTGCTGCTGCTGCTGTTGGTAATGTTAGCGGTGTGGATTGTTCCGCGTAGCAGCTGGAAGTTCACCTGCCACTTCTGTGCCACCGCCGCAGCTGCAGTCGTTGTTGCTGCTAACGTTTCGACGGAACCAGCGAACGAACTAAACCGTGTGGTATGATTCGCTTGCTACCGCTGCTGTTATATCCACCATTGCCACTACTCCGCTGTAGCCCGACCGCGAACGCGACGACGGGGCGTCAAGGTTTTACATGAAGTAAGCCACCAAGAAAGAAAGCCGGCCCTATTAGTCAGCTAAGAACGAACCAAGCAACCAGCCAGTCGTCAAGCAAGAAAATTGCTCACGGTGGATAACGGTGGAATTTTTATGGTAATTTCCATTTTCGTCAGCAACGCGGACGTCTGTTTGCGCGCCAGTACATGTATGATGCGACATACTCGCCCCGCTGCACGACACTATGCCATGCTATCAACGTATGCGTAACGTGCCCAAGTAAACCCACGTTGAGCACACGATTGTACGGTCATAGCTGGCAGCACGATCAAGGCGGCTTCACCGATTGTGCACCGCGCGAAGAATACAATAACGTATTTATTAATCGAGACTTCTATGCAGGCCTGCTTGAGAAGCTAAAGAGCGCGCACAAACTGTTACTTTTATACCTGTTCTAAAAATTAACAATAAGGCAAGGTAATCCGTCGTACGAGAATCGAAGTTGCAACTTAAATCTCAATAAACTTTATTTCAGACATAAACAAACTTGTGCAAGTAGTCTACAGTACACAAACACACGCGCCCAAACAATCCACAAACAACGATATGGTATTCTACCTGTACGGAAACAACACGATACTCATGTTGGTCCCCGCAATATTAACCTCAGAATAATACAGACAATATCTTCATTTTTACCTCCCCGCGATGACAAATCAAACCGCCGTTAGCAGCTCAATGCGACTCCGCTCCACTATCATCATCCGTCATGTGGTCGCTGCTGTCATATGCTGCTGCCATCGTCGCGACTGTCAAGTTAGTCAATACTTGTCCCCATCCGTCTCCTGCTAGATCTTTGTCTCTTTTTCTCATTCCCTTACATGCGTTGCCTTTGTATGTGCAATGTCCCCTAGTTTTTCTTTATTATCTGGAACTTCTTTACCTTCGCTCCTTTCCATTTCTCCACTATCACTTCGTTTGGACGTTACGCACGCCCACTTGCCTGCGTTCCAGCCCGTCAGTCAGCTGGCAGTTCAGCAGCAGTAGGATCGCTGCCACTTGCGCGCTTGATGAACGCACAGCCGGCCGAGAGGCTGGCAAACAAGGGTAAACAGGCCCTATATGCAGAGCGGCGAGCTCTAGCTGCGAGCAGCTAGCCAGCCAGCAGCGACACCTGAAACGCTTACACTTCCGGCGCGGCCGCCGCCATCTAAACGATGTCAATTCGCGCCTGCTCTGTCCTAGCCCACTGGGGCAGTCAGTCAGCCAGTCTCGCTCGCTGCCTGTTTCCCGGCCTGTCAGCTAGCAAGCCAACACACGCAGCACACGAGTAGTGTTCAGGAGAGAACGAAGCATGAGCGCATGTTCAGCCAGCAAGCGAACTAGTAAGCCTGATGCAGCCTAGCTGACTGTATGGCTGCAGGCTGCCTTCCTGCAGAATGTCGTCTGGTTCGTTCGAGTCGAGTTGAGGGTTACGAGTAGTTGGACCAAGACGATGACGGCACGGGGAGACTGGAGCTGGGGCCGGCAAGATCGACGTTGGATAAAGAGGCCTGACTGGTCGGTTGGGCCCTGCCATTGCTCGTTCGCTAGCTCTCGGTCGCTTGGTTGAGACTCGAGCCTTCGAGCCCCAGAGGGGTAGTGGTGAGCAGGATAACTGGCTGGCTGGCAGAGGCATAGCCTCTATCAACGCTAGTTGCTGGCAAAGGCTAGAGGCACCCAGCCAGCACAGCAGAGCAACGACGTAGCCACTGGCTGGCGGCCGACGGGGCGCGTTCCGGGGCTCGTAAGGGGTTGTGCCAAAAGGAACTAGGGAGGAACTGAAGGCAGCAGCATAGACGGGTAGTAGTGCGTACATGGTGCGACGAGACGACGACGACAATGCTGCCGCCGCCCGCCAGCCCGCCGAGAGCGATGGGCGAGGGAAGTGCGCAGGCGGTGAAGTAGGGAAGAGCTGAGTTGGAAACGCGGTGGTAGTAGGGGCAGATGGGCTAAAAGAAGGGGGTTACGTTGAATCGGGCACAGCCAGAGAACGGGGTTAGCGGGGCAATATGGGACAACGATGGGTTGGACTGAAGCAGCCGCGGCTACTGCCAGCCAGCCGCTTGTCAGAGGGTTGGTAGAACCGAAGCTTTCTGTGAAAGGGCCTTATCCCAGCCTTACCGTTTCCCCATTGCGCCCCTTTGCGTTCTACCCGCTCTGCTCTCCATCGACCTCTGCCTGTCCAAACGTCGACTGGCTCTGCTTCAGCACTGCAAGCCTCTACTACCAACCCGCCTGTCTCTCGCTGACTGCTGGCAACGGCTCGACAAACCAACTTTCGAACAGACACAAGCCTGGCAGCGGCCTGCTTAGTCGGCCTTCCTACCGCTAGCCTGCCTATGTCGGTGACGGTGGTGCCGCCACCATAGGCAAGCAAGCTAGCCTTACGAAAGAACGTCACAGCAGCGCCCCCTAGCAGCGAGATCAATGCCAAGGGGCAAGGTAGGCTGCTTCACTTTGCTCAGAGCAGCAGCCCCAACCAACTCATCCACCCCACACATTGGCCTGCTCCTGCTGCTACGATGGCAATGTGCAGGGGGACAGGGGTCTCGTTTTGAGCGCTCTGCTCTGCTGTGTTCTGCTCGACTGTACGCTTACTATAGCTGCTGCTGCTGGCCCGTTCGTTCGCTGAGCTCACCAAGCGAGCGAATGAGCGAGCGACAGTCCGCTTGCTCGCTGCTCTTCCTACTAGCTTCGCTCCTCTCTCGTTGCGCTGTGCTCTCCCCACGATACCATCTAGGAAATTACTATGGAAGGCACAGCAAGGCGGCAGAGAAAGCCGACGATTCAAGCCAGCAGCGAATCATGTCGGTCTGCCTGCCTGCTCCTTTCGCAGCAAAACATATATAT